TGGTTTGGGGAAGGAATCAAGAAGTGAAAGAACTGAGAAATCATAGGTGGGATGATGCTTCTAATTAAAGGCTGATTTTGGTTTTTTAGAGGTCTCTCCATGGGCAAAAAAAAGAGCTTTTTTGGAAGGTTTTTCCTCTTTTCTGGCCATCTGGGAGGTAGTGTGTGTTTCCTAGACCCAGAGTCTCCTTTAGAGCAGAGATGCCCCATCCCTGGAGGGGTTCAAGGCCAGGCTGGATGAGGCTTTGGGCAACCTGGGCTGGTGGGAGGTGTCCCTGCCCATGGCAGGGGGTGGCACTGGATGGGCTTTAAGGTCCCTTCCAACCCAAACCATCCTGTGGTTCTACGAGATGTCTCCATCTTCCAGCCCAACAGGGATGCTCCAGGCAGCGCAGGGACCAATCTGCAGTGGGGCATTGCTGAAAAGCCCAGATTTTCCAGGGAGCACTGGTGGTTTTTGGGAGTTTCTGAAGCTGCATCTTCTCCTCGCAGGCTAGTTTCACAAAAATAAAATGTAATAAATGGGGGTGAAGTGCAGCTTGGCCAGGGGAGCAGCCAGGTCCTGTACTGCCGGGGGTTTGCAGGGCAGAGGGGCGGTGAATTCCTGCTCCTGCGCTCAGCAGTGAGCCCTCAGTCTCCCGCTGGCCTCTGGGGGCGTTTTACCATTGTGTTAAATTAGAAAGAAAGGAAAGGAAGGAAGAAAGAAAGAAGGATGGAAAGAGGGAAAGAAAGAAGGAAAGAAAAAGGGAAGGAAGGAAGCAAGGAAAGAAAGGAAGAAGGGAAGGAAGGAAGAAAGAAAAGGAAGAAAGACATTAAATATGTCTTTTAATGTATTTTTACTTAATGATACTGAATCATTTTCATTTTTGGTGTTGTGCAGCGGCGACGTTGCTCAGCCCCACAGAAGTGGAACCTGGGTTTAAACCCTTTGCTGTGGGAGAGGGGATGGCGTGACGGGATGTGTGTCCTCATCTGGCCCTTCTGGTGTGGCACACCAAACCATGGCTTATTCTTTCTGTGCCGCAGCATAAGCATATAGCAAGGAGCCCATCCGTGTGTCCCCCCCCCAGCAGGCATTGTCCCCAGGAAACATTGCCACAAGCGTGCATGGGTGCAGAGCATGGCCGGAGGTCAGAGCTGAGTCAGAAAAATTATGGGTGTGTTTAATCTGGATGAAAACCCTGGCCATGGGAAGAAGATGATGCTCAGCTGCAGATTTGCTTGCTTGGACCGCTGGAACACATCTCTGGGCATCCTTATTCCCCAGGATTTGGCCAAGCTCCGAGGGCACCAGTCCTCCCAGTGCCTGATCTGGGTCTCTCCCTTCTGCGTTAAAACCAAACGC